AAAAGAGAAAATAAAGAAAAAATACGAATATAATTTTAGGAACTACAAATTTGAGGGGGGGCGCTATATGAATTTTTTCATATATATGGAAATTTTTTTAAAAATTACCACATATGTTATAGGTTGCTGGCCAACTCGAGGGGGGGGGGGGGGGGGGCACGTGCCCCCCTAGGCCTTCATTGGCTCCGTCCCTGAACTAAACCTACGAGATCACCCTCGTCCTAATCATTCTAATCATCAATCTATCTCTTCGGATCCTCAAACAACTAGCACCTCAATGACCCCATACTACCTGCCTTATCGTGTAACCCTGCACTATATAGCTAAAATGACCACTGTACCTCACCTCGAGACTCTCTCGACAATCGTGATAACCTATAACCCCGCTCATCCACCGAGCCATGCAATCAACTCGCCGAAAGTTAATTACCCACAACACGCTCCTGTAACTATCCAAAATGAGAATCACTCCTTGACAAACCAGTCTCTAAAATAGACCCTTACAACCCACGAACTGAATCACATGAAACAATCGATCACCTGGCACGGACATGACTCCAGTCAATGCCTACACCACCCTAGACTCACAGAGTCCAACAAGTCCCCTTGACAATCAAAACCAACACATTTCCTTGGATCGTACTAGAATACCCGAAATACATGTCTACAACCCATAGATTACACTCGTGACTCGAGCAACCTCTATCACACTCACCACAAACCGACTCGAAGAGAACCTCAGTACCAAACTGTGACCCAAGTCACAAATACTAACCCCCTAAGGTTATACCTCTCCCCCACAGTGCACACCTGACCTCCACAGTTACAAAACCCATACATTAACGCCTGAAACTTGTACGTCTCACCCTAGACATCGCATTGTGCCATACACAATCGTTTAAAAGTCGTGCCCCAAGCGCTACATCCCAAAAAAAAAAAAAAAAAAAAAAATTAAGCAACTATGCACCGAATAGCTCGATCCACGAGCGAAAGACTTACGCCATTAGTTCGATAAGAATAGACACCCAAACAACCCTTGAGCAACCTAGCTCCTCGCCTACTCAGGTCAAAATTCACATAACCATCAATGCCGCAACAAGTACTCTATCGTGCTAGCATCCATCCCGTGCACAACCTTATGTACACACGTGAACACACATACATAATAACCGTATCCCATACTATGATATAATCGTGTCCCATCATAAAAAAAAAAAAAAATTGAAACACCACGTCTTTTCATATATATATATATATATTTAAATACTTGTTTAACCATGCCTAAATAACCATCACAATACATACGAGACATGCTTGAACCTACCGTGCTTAGTACTTGCCACATTATCATCTAAAATAAAATTGCACACACCGTGCCTACCATTTGCCGTTACCACCTAAGTCACACTTGTCATCATATAATAATTAATATATTTTCAATTATTTATATATTTCATCGTCATGACCATATAACACACATTTTAGCAATTAAACATGTAAGCATGTGAACACTTAGCAAATAAGCATGTCTTTTAAAACCGTAAACATATAAGCAATTAAGCAAGTATGCATGCTTCTCAGATAACAAACACTTTAACACATAAACACATAAACAATGCAATCCACCTTCCACACAACCCTAGGTAGGCCTCTATTTGTCGTCCTACTGGTTTTTGATCCATGGCTCTGATACCAAATTTATAATGACTCAAACCCGAGGGTCCAAATCGCTAACCAGGTTCTTACCCGAACCCGAGGTCAACTAAAGACGTTACCGTCCTTTCCTATGTCAATACTTAATATACGTGTCATCCCAGGGTTTATAAATAAAATAAAATAAATAAATAACAATAATAAAATGAGATCATTGCTACAAAGTATGTCAAAATAGTCCACTAACCCATCAAAACCTGTGGAAGAGCATTGTCCGCCACTTCCTTTCCGTATCTTGAAAAATGTTAAAATAATGGGGTGAACTAAACACTCAATAGGAAGTGTCTAAGACACACTTCTTACGACCCCGTGAATTCACATAAGGAATAGAGTACAAGTAAATGGGATCATGCCTCGGGGAAAACAAACAAAACAACGATAATATCAACAAATATATACGTAAGTCGTTTAACCACCAAATGTACAATGTATGCCAATGAAATGCCTTGCCATGCCATGTCGCTCCCCCTTTCCGAAACAATACCGTTTCAACTTCCAAACCGTTAGTGTAATCCAACCCAAAGCACCTCAAAGGCGTCACGAATGGAGGGTTGATTAACTATCCACGACTACAAGGCACCTCCAAAGCGTCGCATCTGGCCTAGTTAGCTCAACCATACTCCTTTCTAGACTACACTAACAACACGGACCGCTAGGCGCCTCCTAGGCGTCCGGTTTTCACAAACACTTTTCAAAAAACTTTCCCAAAAACAATTTCATTTGTTTTTAAAACAAACTTTTTCCTTTACTTTCCCAATGGTAATGCATGAATTATGCAAATTCTTCAATGCCATGACAATATAGAAATTTCATACATATCATCCATATCATTCAAGCATGTTTAAACCATGAATTTTCACATAATATCACATTTTCATATTTCTAAATCATGGCATTTTACATACTTTCAATTCACAATCCAACAACTTAAATATATAAGGCATAAAATAAAGTCATTTATTTTCATAACTACAACATCACTTTTCATAACAATTTAAAATCATAGGACATATAATACATCAACACTAAGCATGCTTTTTCACCACAAGAATTTAATCATATTCATAAGCTCACTTAACACATAGCACGCCTTTATTACCTTAAATACTAACAACCACAACAAACATAATCAAGATAATTACAATTAAGCATGCTTTGAGTCAAATTAAAGGAAAAATTCACAAGAAATCTAAGAAATTGTGGATTAGAGCACCCCTGCCTCAAAATGATGAAAACCCCCAATTTGAACCCTAGATTTTGAATTTCCTAGGGTGCATCAAATGATAAATTGCTTACACCTACTTGAAGATCTCACCGGGCTCTTCGATTTGCCGCAAACGGCACCAAAAAATTCCCAATAATGAAGGAGAAATCAAGACTTTAGTGTAAGAAAAGAAAAAAGAAAATAGAAAGGAGAGAGGGAGCTCGCTGCTGGCTGCGTAAGAAAGAGAGGAATAAAGTAATGATCATACAAAGTCATTTGTAATGACCATTAAAATGGCGAGTCCCACGGCAATTTAAAATATTTTCTTTTTCCCTCTTTTTTTTTCCTTCCCTGTACCACACAATATATATACACATTTAATAATTCACATCTACATAAATATAATAAATAAAATGCATGAGGTGCAAATGGACCCAACTAAAAATCTCTGTACACAATAGTTCAGGTAGCGGGTCCTACACGAGACCGTCCGGCCCGAAAAACAGAAAAATACAAAAATGACAACCTTTACATTTCAAAGAGTCCTGAACTCAATGAAATGCTCCAATTAACTCTCGGATACACTTGACACACCCTACGGTATCTGGCACGCAAAATGAGAAAAGACGATTATACCTTAGAAAAATCAAAAAATTTCAAAAATTGGAAAATAGTAAAATTTGGAAACATTACACCGTGTGTGGAACACGGGCTTCAGACGTTTGCGTTTATTGTGCAAAGAAAGATCTGGCCGTGTAAGGAACATGTGCTTCGGATGTCTGAAAAGGGTTGGATTCAAATCCATACTCTTATTCGACTTCGTCACGTTGCTGACTTGGAAATTTTAATTTCAATTCACGTTGCTGGAATTGGGACTTGGAGTGACTTTTGTGTTTCTCCGTTTCCCACAGACGGCGCCAAAGTGTAAGTGCAAAAATTCGTTCGACTTTGACAAGTCGTCGAAATCTCCACAGTTACTACACCCAAAATAATAATATAGAAAAACAATGAACTAGAGAAATTGTATAGAGATGAAGAGGTACTTTGATGATATGACCGAACCTAGGATTACCTAAATTGCCTACGTATCCCGCTTCATGGAGCGTGGGAATCAGGTCGGAACGTAGTTCTAGCGATGAGAATTGGATCTATATTTTTGGGGGCTTTGCCCTTTTTTCTCTGTCTCCTTTATTGAGGGTCCTAAGCCTTTTTTATATAGGAAAAACCTTAATCGATTCATTTTAGGATTCGCATTACTTGTCCCTTAAGAATCTGAATCACATCATATTAGCTTTATAATAAGGATTTACATTATTTGGTTTCCATAAACTATAATCTTTCTTCTAATAGAATTGTTCATAAAATGAGTTTAGTAATGTATTCGTACTTGGGCTTGGGATCTCATCATTTCTGGCCTTCTTAATGAGTTCTGTCCATTAGACTTAGTTAACCCGGCCCAAGATTCTTGTATAAGCCCAATTTGAAGATTGAATAGTCTCAGCGTTTGTGGTGGTTTCCTTATGTGCTGATGTGTCCTGTCTTAATTGGAAGGGGAGATTTTTACCCCCACAACGTCATTACTTGATTTAATGGAAAAAGGACCATTTTTGTTGTATTATATTTATACGAAATGATGGATGAGGATATTTGAACAAACTGGTTCCTTTTCAAAAATTGATAAGAGTTACAAATTTCGAACTTGGAATTGTAACATTTTAGTACGAGATTCTATCTAATTTTAAATCCTAACTGTTGATTCGGTAGACCAAACATAGCGATTGAATAAAGTTCAGCACGAGCGCGTTAATGAAAATCCTCAACAATTTAGGTGGTGAAAAGGACCTGTAAAATGTTTGCAGTAGCGAGTGTTGTGCAAGGACGAGGTTATAAGGTCATTACTAAAGATTGTCGTTGCTAATGAAAGGGATTGGAGGGGTAGATTGGGATGTATTGAGACATTATCTTTGACATTATTTGCACCTAGTGACTGTTTTGATATTCACATTTCACCTTTGACAATGACCTATAATTGTTATTCAAAGATGCTAGCACAACGTACTTGATAACAAATCTATTGTTTTAAGTGATTTTATTTCACCTTTGAGAAAATATACAGATCAATCAAGGAACCTTTTACATTGACATATACAATAAATTATACATAATATTGAAGCAACTGTGTTCAACAATAATCTTTACATGAACAATGACCATCTCTAAAATGGTGATATATCTTTGGATCTCCCACTACTATCTCTCTTTTAGTGACCTTCGAGATCTTCTTTGCAGTACTATGGCAATTTTCACATATTCGAATGTTTTTTCTAACAAGAACAGGTTCCCCAGTTCTCGTTGAGATCAAGCCTAAACAAATTGCTAATCTCACACTGTGACACTCGGGCGAGTTCATTCTTTTTCTCAACACATCTAGTGGTCTGAACTTCTTGACGCTGTGAACATAAATGTCTTCCCCAATCTCCCTCGAAATAATATCTAATACATTGTAGATCACATTAGTTTTTACATGGGATCTATCTTGATTCGTGAACCCGTAAATCATGCCGTTGATCTCAACTGTACTGTGTCCAATGGCTTTTTGCACCCCTTCTTTCTTCATAAGACCTTTAATCCGCTCTACATCGTCCCACCTTCCAACTTCAGCATACATATTTGAAAGCAAGACGTAGCAACCACTATTGTCATGTTCCAAGGATAATATTTGCTTAGCTGCAAATTCAGCTAATTCTAGGTTTCTATTGTGTCTGCTTGCAGCCAGCAGAGCTCCCCATATCCTGGCAGTTGGGAACAATGGCATTTCATCAATGAAACGCTTAGCTAGGTCAAGATTTCCAGTGCGACCGAGAAGATCAACCATACAGCCGTAGTGCTCTATTCCAGGATTAATTTCATAGTCCCTTTTCATTGAATTGAAGTACTCCCACCCTTCATCCACCATGCCAGCGACGCTGCAAGCTGATAGTAGGGAAACAAAAGTACTTGCATTGGGTTTCGTATCCTCTTCCTGCATTTCGAGAAACAATCTGACTGAAGTTTTCCCCAAACCATGAATAGCATAAGCCATAATGATCGTGTTCCATGATATTACATCCTTAGGCAACATCCTCTCAAAAATTTCTCGTCCAGTTTGGAGATCTCCACATTTTGCATACATATAAACAATTGAATTTGAGATGAAGGTATTTGAACCAAGATCTCGTTTTGTGATATACCCATGGATTTGCTTCCCCTCACGCAACAATGCAATCTCAGTGTAAGAAGCTACGATACTAGTAATTGTCATCGCATCTGGATTAAAAGGCTCTTTCCATAGTTCTTGAAACAATCCCAATGCTTCTTTATAATGCTCATTCTGTACATAAGAAGCAATCATAGCATTCCATGATATCAAATTCTTTTCACTCATGTGACCAAAGACACGTTCTGCCAATTTCAGCTCCCTACACTTTCCATACATGTCAACCAGAGCAGTTTCCAGTATTAAATGAGGAAGAGACCCTGTTCTAATAGCATAGCCGTGGATAGACTTACCCTGCGAGAGAGCTCCTATTTGTGCACAGGAAGGAAGCAAGTTTATCAATGTAATCGTGTCAGGAATCAACTGATCAACCTCTTGCATCGTTTTCATGCAAGCAAATGACTCGAGTGGGCGTGCATTTAAAGCGTATCCACCTAACATAGCATTCCAAACCACAATGGTCTTTTGAGAAATTATATTGAATAACCTCTCAGCATTGTCCACTGCCCCACATTTCCCGTACATGTCGATGAGTGATGTCTGAACCATGAGGTCCAATTCAAACCCACTTCTAATCACTTGGCAATGAATTTCTTTACCATTCAGCAAACAACACTCGAGGGAAGAAGCACCGAGACTGCTGATCATGCTGAACCTGTCGGATTGCATTCCAAACGAATGCATTTCACGGAAACACATCAAAGCACCCCAACCATCGCTGACTGAAACATACCCACTAATCATAGAATTCCAAGAAACCAAGTCTCTAACAAGCATGTTTTCAAACACCCTCTCTGCAAGCTTGATATGCCCAAGCTTCGCATACATAGCAATAAGTGAATTGCAAACATAGAGGTCCGAATCAAACCCCATCTTAATAACCTTCGAGTGAACCTTTTGCCCCTCCACCAAAGAAAATGTCCCTGCACATGCCTTGATTACAAATGGGTAGGTGAAATTGTCAGCTCGAACTCCTTCAAATTGCATTCGATAATAAAAATCAATGGCCTCCTGAAAGAACCCATTATCGGTTAATCCCCTGATCACAACATTCCAAACGAAGGGGTCGCATTTACTCATATTCTCAAACAGATAGAGTGCATCATCCATAGACCCAGAATTCACATACGAACAAAGGTCTCGTACGAGTGAAAGATAGTGCTGTTTAATCGGAGTTTTCACAGTCTGTGATTGATAACTATTTGTGAGAGCTGATTTGGAGATCCTTTGCTTGACAGTGAGCTCATGGTTCTGGTTGGCTTTCGAAGCTTTCGCTCTTTTCTGCCAGATGCTTTCATGAAAGTCGGATCTGCAGGAGTAGTTAAGAGCTAATGTGGTAGCCATCTTCAAATTGACGAATGCAACCATTTGGAAAACTAGCCGTTAAAAATCATGGAGTGGAGTTAGTTCCTCTCGGTTCTTTTTTGGCGGGTTGGTTAATACCGTTATGTCTACTACCATCTATTGTTCATGGCGAATTCATTTTATCTAAAAACAATCAATAGAATCATGACACGTGATCTCTTACCTCATTTTCTCTCTTTTCACTTGTCTTGAAACTCAGGAATATGGTGGGTCCCATTTTAAATAATTTTTCAGCACATAAAGAAACTCTCTCTAGTCTCTGCTAAGAGAAAATTTATTTTAGATCCCCCAATTATGTACCCTGTGTAAATTTATATCCCTATTTCTTAAACTATGGCCTCAAGTAACTGGATTTGATTTTTTATTATTATTATTTTTTAAGGATGATATGGTAAAACTGTGCCATAATTGTCAGAAATTGTAAATGCACTTAACATTATGTACCTTCACCTAAATGATTGATATCTTTGTGATCGTAAAAGATAAACTTAACAAGATCAGTTAGTAAACTTTGTTTTTTTTTTTTTTTTTTTTAAAGTTTTTTTTTTTTTTATTAATACAAGTTACAATGCGAGTTTTCAAAATTCAAACAATATCTTTATAATTTGTCAATTAAAAATTTTATTTTTACCTCTATTCCATAATTACTACCTGCAAAATATGATCTCAAATTGAATTTGGAAAGTGCCAAAGATATAATTTTGAATTTAGTGGATGGCTTTAATGAATAATGTGCAACTTGTATCAGTTTTAATCTTTTTAACCCTTCCATTGTCTAGTCATTTAAAAAAAGACATGAAATGTTCCATCCCTATAAAAGAGAATCCATCATGCTTGCGAATGATTACATACATATATATATATATAGAGAGAGAGAGAGAACATGCATAAAATTTTTTGTCTTTAGAATATAAACTTTAGAGGTTCTAATCTATAATCTAGAAAGTTAAATAATACTTCCTCTGTCATGAATGTTTTTTTTTAAGAACCTTACCTTTCATAAATTGCAGAGTCAGAGTTCCTTAAAAGAGACATTATTTTTGAGATAGAGAGAGCACTAATTTTTATTAGCCATAAAATTTTGTTTAAATTGGGCAAATGTGGCTTGTGTAATTTGATGTTTATTGCTTACAAGAGTAACAAGAGGCATGAATGATGAAAAAGAAAGCAGCCATGAAAGAAAAGTAGTAATAGAGATATGAGTATATGATGAATAGAGAGATGCCATTAAGTTTGAATATTAAAAAGGATTAGTTAGTTATTCTTGAGATTAGATACTGTAATAAGCCAGATTTGTCAACAACTTTACAGTTGAGCAAAATGAGCTAGTTAAATATTTAAATATTATTCTTATAATTACATGATATAATAATATTAATCCTTAGTCATGTGACAAAAAAAACACATGCAGATGACTATATAATTTTTAATAAACCACATGGTGTGATTTTTCTTTCTCCCTTAATAATATTCACGACAAACACATGACATGACATGATTAATCTGAAGTTTTATATTCTCAAGTGCAGCTACAGTATTTATACATTTCATTTCTTACGCCACATTAAGAATGTTATCATTTCGATATGTTCATAGTATCTCTTGATGTGTAGTCCATACATCTCATGAGTTTACAGATAAGAATGACTCACGGCCCGAAATTTCAAAACCCGTTACCGAGTAACTCGAAACTCCAATCGTATAACGAATTCAAAATAAAAATTTCAAATGAAGTCAACAAGACTTAACTAGAATACAAATGCTCATTTGATCCTCGGCTCCATCACAGTATCTTCTTGATATGCCATGAACAACGACCTCGTTAGCAATCTTCAACATCAATCTTTTTTTCTATCCACATGATCGTGTTAGCAGTAGAAAAGCCAACAGAAAGAGCAAGGATTTGAGAAGATTTTGATAACCATATTTGGTTTTCACTGTCATATTACACCTAACTCTTCCAACATATATATGAAAAAAAATGGGTGGTATGAGCTGTGTTTTTATAGCATTTTAGGCATATAATCGATGTCTGGTGGTGGTATTTGAATGGGAAAGTCTTTAATTCAAATCCTACAACCTCTTATTGTAGTAAAAAATTCAAGAGTGGGTAATAAGTTTGAATATTAAAAAGGATTAATTATTCTTGAGATTAGATACTATAGTAAACCAGATTTGCCAACACCTTTACAGTTGTAACAAAATGAGGGCTAATTAAATATTTAAATAAGCTCATCTAACAATCATAGAACTTTGGGTTTGGGTTACAAAAAGGAAGAAAAAAAAATTGATCATAGAACTCTTAAGGACCACATTTAAATTTATTATTATGAAAATATTATTCCCATATTAAATGATATAATAATGTGGCAAACAACTGATTGAAAAGCTGAACCTATAGCCTGCTAACATGCATAGGATGTCAGTCTTTAATATTTGAGAAAACAGAGTGGCAAACTAGCAAAGGAAATTCATTGTTTGCATTAATCTTTTCATTTTTATATTATTCATTTTTATTTCATCATTAATTTTCAGGTCAAAGTTTAATGTCTAATAATAACCTGAAATATAAGAAACATATTTTATAAATATTACTTATCAAAATAGAACCTATTGCATTGAAAGACTTGTTCTAGATTCCCATTAAAATGTAATAGCATGAAAAAATCCCAAAACATGGTATTAAAATGTAATAATACTAATTTCAAACATTAGAGCTGTTTAATTATCCTGATATAGAAGTTTTTATCATCAACACATAAGCCATAACAAGATTTCATCAGCACATAAGCTTAAGCAATTATTTTAAAAAATTGCACACCTCAGCTTTGGGTTGTTTCAAATTTCAACCAATTTACATAAAGAAAGAAAAGAGTAAGAACATTACTTTTCAAGATTCAATACTATACAAGTTTCTGTAAAGGCCGAGAATAACGTGTTAACATGTTAAATACACTTGCGCTATGTTTAGTAACATGAAATTGAAGCTCGAGAAAAATTAGTTTAAACTTTGAACTAATTTTTCTCGAGTTCCAATTTTGAAATACCAATTCCATGCTATCCAAATATAGCATTAGAATGAGAAGGGTCTAAGTTTGAAGTTCCTCAGGGATGCTCTGGAGCACAGGCCTCCAAGAACTCCGGCAAGTCCCTCTCCCTTGACTGGCTCTCAAAAGATGCCTTCGCTGCATAATATTCAAGCGCTGTTCTAAGGACAGAGAAGGCGTGGACACAAGCGACGATTGGCGAGCAATGTTCTTGGCACCTCTCATCACTTCTAGCATTTGCTTTAGATCTTGTTTTTTCACTACAATTTTCATCCTCATCGCGCCATCTTCACCAGTCTGCGAAACAACACTCCCGCCATTTACGTTGGCTATTGCATCCAACAAAATGTTGTTCCTCATGGCCTTCTGATTCTGAGCTCTCGAAAGCACCTTCAACTCCATCTCTCTCTCTCTCTGTGTATGACTTAATGAACCAAACCTCATGGAGTCTCTTATAGTAAGATTGGGCATTAAAGAATCCACAGAGACAATGAAAAGTTATGTTAATTTAAGAATGAGCTTTGAGTACAAAATGAGTATTGTAACATTTTGACTTTCTTAGAAGATTCATCCAAATGAAGCTCATTTGTCATGCTAATAAGTAATATATTTGATGATGATATATATATATAATAAGTGATTTATTGTTTATACACCGACGAGCTCACATGCAAAGCCGAATGTTGCGCGAAAATGAAATGAATGGAGGGTGAGTTTATACTTTATATTGTAATATGAGATTAGTTAGGGTTGTGTTGAAAAAAGAGTAGAGGGCGGCTATAGAATGATGAAGAAATAGGTGTCATTTTGGAGCCTCTTGATTCAATTTTGGTGGGTCCTAAAGCTAGTTGTCAATGTTGTGATGCTTACAGCCTGTTTTAGGCTTGGCCAACTTATAACTCTTCCAGATTCCTATGGTTTTTGTCAATGGCCATTACTCTTGACCCATTTCAGTAGAATGATGGGAGGAGGAGAACATTGTTAAATTTTTTTACTTTTTACAAATTTTTTTTTTCCAGGTGCTTTCAGTTTGAGCGGCTAACTTGGGCAATACTAAGTGGCCTAGTTGGTTGAGCGCCAAGCTTTTTAGGCAGGTGTACCTATGCTTGAGTATCCCTCCCTAATTTGTCAGAAATAATAATAATAATAATGTAGGCCAACCTGAACAACAACGTGGACCAAAACATTCTTTAGAAAGGTTTCAACAATTTCTTTTTGTGTTACTCGGATTGGACTGGGATTGAAAATTTTCGACCCACTCCAACTTGGGTTTGAAGACAGTGGGCCTTGGCACGGGTTCAAATCAAGAAGACCACGCGTTTGAACCTAGGCAGAGGTATCAAACAACGTGAATTAAACCTGATCTACATTACGTAAGTATTATTTATATTATTATAACAAAAGATCTCGAACCTAATTGGAGCATGAAAAAAAACAAAGAAACTGATCTCAAGGGTTTAAGGACTGCTAACAGCAGTGGCTGTCGCAGTTGGGTCCGAAGATGCCCACAAGTTTAATTCGATGCACACGGAACCAGAATAAATAAATGTAGCTCTTCAAAGAAAGTAAATAGAAACACACAAGGAAAGAGAGTAAAATCTAATTTGAGATCAACTTTTGTTATGTACAATTATTTAATTTGCACTGATTAACCAGGCACTTTTATATGTAATGACATTTAAAAGACATGCACCTTTTTTTAGTGCCGCTATTCATCAACAGCTTAGATTCGTTTGTTTAGTAAATGAGCCGAGCCTGAGTCTGAGTTCAATTTTCAGACTTATTTAGTAAACCAGCCGAACCTAAACAACATTGAGCTCCACTCCACTCGTATAGGTTCATGAACATGGACTTGTTATATATGTATACAAATTTATATATATAAAGTAATATGATGATTCAAGGTAGTAACTTTGAGAATACATGCGACTTTGAGCTTTGTTTTTTGGCTAATGGGTTGGGTTTTGCTGATTGAAACTGAAAGCAAGCCTTATTTGAGCTTGTCTATACAATGGACTTGATGTACATTATTCTTACATTTATAATACAAGTTTACTTTCCGAATAATATTTAATTTTTTTTTTTACATCGAGCTGAGCCAAGCTTTTAAAATCAAGATAGAGCCCAAGCTCAAATTTTTTTGAACTTGCCACGAGCCAAGCCCGAACAGACTCAAATTCGACTCCGCTTTCAACCAAAATAATAAGACAAGCACCTTTTCTCGATTTTAATTTATATCTTTTCTAGACATTTCAACCAAAGTTTACAAGTTAGTGGCTCAACAGCCCCCACAAATAATAGACAAAATATGAGTCCTTCAATCAAGTAGAGTGGTCCTGAGAAGGATAAGCCTAAGGTAGGTGGTGTCCTGAAGTAGCTTCTTCTGCCCCACGATTCGTTGTCCTATAGCTTTCAATGTGGTCCTTATGCTATCCTTGGTTGGAGTGATGAATTGAGGAAGTATGGAAGAGAGGGAGCCTTCTCGTATTTGGTTGGAAGGGAAGGAAGAGAGGGAAGGGCAGAGAGTGATGAAACAGCTTTTAGTTTTTACATCCGTCCAAAATCGGGTAGAAGAGAGGAAGAAAAAAGGGAATAACTCCTAAATATATATAAAATACCAATTTCAACCTTTTCAAAAAAAAATAATAATAATAATAATAATATTTTTTTATAATTTTATATAATGAGGGTATATTGGTGAAAAATATATAAAAGAAAAAACTCTCATTCCCTACTCCCTTCCAACCAAACAAAAAATTCCTATCACCCCATCCTTCATTTCCACAATCCCTTGTATATCATCCCATCCTTCATTTCCACAATCCCTTGTGTACAACAAAACAAAAAGTGAGGGAGACACCTTCTCATCCGTAGGGAATCCACATCCCCCTCATCTCTCTTCCCATCCCTAAGGAATCCTCATCCCCGTGCATATTTTCATCCCAATATAGAAATGCCAAAAACAAAGAAGGCCAATTTGCTCTTGAACAGAGCCAGTGAGCTAATAAGAAAGGAAATGGAGTTAGATTCGGATAAGAATAAGCTTTGAAAAGCTTCTGCTTTGAGGAAGAAAAGAAAGATCCTGGAAGCAAAAGTAAGAGTGCAAACTGTGCAATAGCTCCAAGAGAGTTGTCCTAAAATCAGATAAGGATGAAGGCTATTATACAAAAGAAAAATCACCTTCGATAGTGGTACCAAACCGTGGTCCTAAGAAAAAGACTCCCACATTCAAAACAAAAGTATCAGCATCCCACCTTGGTTGTGGAACCTTGGTAAAGACGTCTAAGGTGAGAGATTCAAAATCATTGCTAATAGTCAGTCATATGTGTGATTGTTAGCTTTCGGGCACATTTAGTGGTCACAGCACCCAGCCAAAAAGCAAGTAGAAAATAAAATAAAAAATAAAATTTCTAGAGAGGGGAACAACAGGCACGTGCTAGACGATAAAACAGGGGAAAAGACACAGCCATTTCCTATATCAGACAGCAACAATAACCGGCAAAGCCAACCAAGTTCAACAGGTCATGTGCTTTTTACGAGGCACATGTCCCCAAGCTCTAAAAGCTTCGCACACCTTATAAACCCCCACCAGAGTGGAAGTGAAAAAAAGACGAATCTAAGCTGATTCATACTCTACATGTTCCTTTTGTTGTATTTGATCCTTGCAGATCCTAGGGCAATGAGAGAATCTGCCAGAACTGAATGGACTGACTGGCAACCTGCACCAACTTTCAGCTCAAAAAGCTTATGAGCACAAAGAAAAGTGTACAAATTAGCTTAACTACCATAGTTTTCAAGCTATACAAACATGGACAGACTGTAAAAACAAGATCACATAACAGAATGTGGATTGATTTTAAGGTTTAATAATTTTCAGTGCTTTACACACACCATATAGCCATATATTAAGAGAACCAAACAACCCTACATAAAAATTCTATAAAAAGTTGTTTACTGCCTTTCACGAGTTCAAAAAGCACCAGTGTAATCGCTAAATTAGCAATGGAACACGTAGAAATATTCAGAAGCACACATGGGCTTTTGATTGCTTCATTTCCACTATTGCTAGACTTTCTTTAAAACCTAATCAATAAATATTTTTCACCTCTAGATTCTTTTCCAAAACTTCCGTAATCTCCCAATTGATGAGAATGGATGGTACGACATTGATAATGTACAAGATAGATCCCTCTTCTACTCCCAACAAGGAAGGGAAAATAATATGGTGAATATTCTATGCTCAAAACACTGATTTATTAAACTATGTCCGCTACATTGATTTATGAGATGCACCTTCCTAATGAAATAAAACTTAGAGATCCACAAAGAATAAATTATTCAACCATCAAAAAGCATTTTTTCTTTTTCTTTTTCTTTTTTTGCCAAGTATACATCCAAAAGCATGCCATGTGAATGCCATATTAAAATTTACTATAATGCAAAGAAAGTGAGCAGTGACAGCCATCAGTTGATCACACATCAACCAACTAAAGAAGACAAGGGAGGGAAGTCCATCTAAGATGGGTCATCCACGTGGTACGGAAACGAATGGATCGTCTAAATCAAGCTAAAAGCATTGAACCGACAATAGAAAGAACAAAAGGACCATGAGTACAGATTGTGGATGTAATCACAATTGCCAAGGATAACACTAGGTTGCAGATGAATCAAGTTGTTCATGAACAGCTCGAGCTTGGCTTGTTAAAAGTTCGGTTCGGGCTCGTTCGTTTAGTAAACGATCCGAGTCCGAGTCCAATTTTCAAGCTCGTTTAATAAACAAGTCGAATTTGAACAATGTTAAGCTCGTGAGTAAACTGTTTACATAAATATGAATTAAATATAAAAAATATAAATCAATATATTTTAAATCTAGCCCATATGTACAAATCAAGCCCAAATTTACATATATTTCTTCATTGGCCCAATTAGTATTTGGGTACTTAGAAACCCATTTAATTAAATAGCTCCATTAGATTCCTCTCAAATCTCAACCATTGAATTGAACTTAAAAGGATCTGATAAAAAAAACCCTAAAAAGAAAGTGTTGCAACCTCGCCTCTCCAATCCCACTATTCTCTAATACCATTGGCGGCAAAGGAAATCATTTCTGTGCATCACCATTTCTACTCTTCAGTGATTATCTTCTCTTCCTAGGTCCTGAGGCAACATCAAGGTTAGGTCGATCTCTCTCCCATTCTCTTTCCTCCCCTCTCTCTCTTTCCTCCCCCTCTCTCTCTAGCTTAATTTTTAATATAATATTATTGATAAATTGGACATTGACGAGTGTTGAATGTGTGAACTGATGGTTGTGTTTTTATGTTCCAAAATTTTAGATCTATTTGATAGATAGTGTATATATATATATATATATATATATAGACACACACACACCCACAAACACACCCACAAACAAGCCCAAACCAAGCCGAGCTCGTCAAAAAATTACCGAGCCGAGCCCGAGCAGCCCTCTGACTGAGGCGAGCAGAACCCGAGCAATCTAAAGCTCGGCTTGGCTCATTTGCAGCCCTAGTTAACACCAGGTAATTATGATAAGTGGATCTGATTTATTCATATAATGGGCCATATAACTAGCAAGCCCTAGTTCTGATCTGTAATCAGATATGAGATTGAGATTTTTGTGACACAGCATATAATATTAAGTTAGTGTATTACTTGGTGCCTTTCACACAAAATGCAGCCAGAATTCCCTGTATAAACGAAGGAAAACACGTATAAAAAATTTGGAAGGCGACAGATTTTCGTGGTCAAGTCCAGCCATTTTCTTACATTAATCTTCTAATATGGCAAACCCTTCTCATATAAGCACTTAATATCTAATAACGTTCTTCGATTTTACAGAGAGCATAATGTTGTCCTGGAACCACAACTTATGGTTGAAGTTCCTGCTTTTGGTCACCATATTGTTGCAGATCCTAATCCTACTTCTCAAACTCATGACTATAGCGAAAACTAGTAATCAAAAACTAAAAATATACTCTATCTGAACTAATTTTCCATGTTCTCGTAGGTTGCATCGCCATCCAAGGAACACAGAGACCAAAAGTGGACCTCACATGACTCGTCTGCCAGTGTGATATTTTGTAATATAGCCAAGTGTATCACGTGCCTTGTCTAGTCAATAATTTATTGGTAGCAAGACCATTACAGCAATTTACAGCCACATGCAAGTATCATTGCATCTTAATCTCGACTAAATCAACCAAGTGCCCCCACAACACACTAATTTTCCAACCCAAAAAACACAGGAATCAAAGATGAAACAAGAACATATTAGCAATGAATTCAATTGGGATTTCATCCAAGTTCATACATTATGCAACCACACATATACTGGATCGGGAAATTTGAGTTTTTCACATGAAAAATTTGGACAAAACTAAATAAAAATGAAATTTCAAAGTAACATTGAAGACAAGCAAAATTAAAGGAAGTTCTTGGATAAGTTAAAAAGGACATTGTCAAATGTTCCAGCTATATTTCCTCCAGCTACAACTAAAGATTATCCCATCTACTTCACTATTCCAAGTCCCCAACCCAACATCAACAATTAACCCAAAAAAACAGTAAACAGTTCAAAATTATCAAGAAAGAGCAAATTGAACTCAAAAGACAGATAATGACATTGAATTAAACAGAAAGCCAAAAGGATGAAAAACAAAGACACCATTAGAAGAACCTCCATGATCATCTCTACCCATTACAATGCCTGCTTCTAATCCGAAGTAGAAGCCGTCTTCTCGGGTTTTCTGCAGAGGATCATATGCATCGGAGTGAAAATTCCAGTCTCTCCACCTCTGGTCAGAAAATCAGCAGTCTTGAACAGCATCTCATGAACATCCACAGTACCCTTCGGCGCAATCCCCAAAAACGACAGCACGATTACCAGAATATGGTTCCTCCAGTAGGCAATTCTCCCCATCTTCAGCCTCGACCACCACGGCGAAGCCGGAGGCTTCGCCAAATCTTTCTCCTTCACCACCTCAAACCCTACCTTCCTCGCAATCTCAGCAATATCAGTGTAATTCCTCAATCCGGGCAACGCATCGCCTCTCTCAATCCCCTGTATAATATCCACATGTTCGGGATCATCGGATCGAAATAATTCGGTTGTTACCCACTCGTACGATACGTACAAAGACCCAGGCTTCAACACTCTGTAAATCTCGGCGTAGACTTCTTCAAGCTTCGGCGCGTGACACGTGGCTTCAATCGAGTACACGCCGTCGAAGCTGTCGTCGGCAAAGGGCATCTGGAGGAAATTGCCGCAAACGACTTCGCACAGGGAATCCAATCCGGCTTTCTTGTTGTGCATACGGGCACGTTTGACCTGGTACTCGTTGATGGTGATTCCGACGACGTTCGCGCCGGAGTGGGCGGCGATGGCGCGCATAGGGCCTCCGACACCGCAGCCGGCGTCGAGAACACGAGCGCCGGGCTTGACTCCGAGCAGATCTACGGCCATTTCTTCGTGGAGGCGAGTGGCGTCGCGGTGAGATTTCCCCGGGACGGAAGGGGAGAAGTGGAAGGATTGACCCCAACCCCACTCGTAGATGTCGGTGACAAGATTGTAGAAGGTGTCGACGAAGGCGGGGACTTTTTCGGCGGTTTCGATCTCCTTGGGGCGGCGAAAGAAGGACCAGTACTGTTTGTAATTGTCTTGCACTTTCTCGCGATCGATGGAGCCGCCGGAGAGTTGGACGGCGTGTTTGCCCTTCCGTTCGGCGGAGCCCATGACGCAGACGAACCAGTAGATGCCGCCGGCGACGAGGAGAGAACCGGTGCAGAGAAGAGATAGAGAGTCCATGATGTGAGAGAAAGTAGAGAGAGAGAGAGTGGCGAAGTGGAAGTGGGGGTTTGCTATATTTATGTTAGGGATTTGTGTCGCTCTGGTGGAGATACGTTTCACCGATTAGATTAGCGTCAATCACGTCTGGACACGTCAACATCAATTTGGCAAATTTAAAACTATCAAGTAGCACAGACCTCGTGATGCAACCTCTGCCGGCCCAATCGGACGTCCGTTATGGGCCGATTGGTCCGATTCGACTCAAGTAAGAGACCTATGCATACAATGCCACATTTTACGAAGGAAATGATATTTTTATTATTTCAAAAAAAAAAAAAAAGGGATAAACTTGACACATTTTATCTTTTAATAAAATTTTATAATTTTAATTTTTTTTATGGATAAACATTACAATTATTTCAAAAAAAAAATAGGATAAACTTGACACATTTTATCTTTTAATAAAATTTTATCATTTTAATTTGAAAAATTACTAATGTACAAATATAAAAAAATGAAGTGCAAAATATTTCCTCAGTCCAAATTAAGTGTTTTAATTTTTCCTTTTTGTATGTCCCATTACAAAGATTATTTATTTATTAAGTAGTGATATTGGCGCTCAACAATTGTACTCTCGCGCTCCATATCATTTTTATATCAATAAAGTCCTTCGTCTTCTTCTTCCCCTCTCTCCTGTTCCCATTACTGCCGGGTTCATCTTCAAACTTCCAAATCTTTTTAATTAGGAAAAAAAAATCACATGAACTCCCGTTTTCGTCCAAAATACTTTCACTAAAATTAAACTCTTTCACCTCTAAACCGACATCACATTGTTTCATTTCCGTCCAAATCCATTAAATACATGTGAAATGACAAATATACCCCCTATAATATAATATAAAAAATACAAAATAAATTTTATTTTGTCAATTACAGTAGCAAAGAATTTTTTTTTTTAAAAAAAAAAAAGAAATTTAGTAGTAAACAGTCCAAAGAGAAAAAAGGAAATTTAGTAGTAAACAGTCCAAAAAAAAAAAAAAAAAGGAAATTTAGTAGTTAACATTCCAAAATGTGTGTGACTGCTTGGAAGATGGCCGGTCAACAAAAGACAATAACCGATCACAATCGTCGTTCTTTCCGGCGTCATGTCATCACCGGAAACCTCGTTGGATTGATCTTCCAACACCCGGAAAGCTTCAGCCGCCTCGGTTGGAGCCTTCTGGATGTCCTTGGCATCAACCGTCGCCAGAACCGGCAGCCGCCATGCTGAGTCAGCAAAATTGAGGCAAGCCAACCGGCGGTCCTCAACGCTAGCGCAGCCGTTCGAAGACCACATCTTCGAAGCCCAATTCTACGGCATTGAAAGCCTCCTCTTAGCTTCGCAATCGAACCCATCTCAGTTTGAAGCTTTTAATCTCGAAAAATCATTGATTTTCAGTTGAGTGGCCGTGGCTCGCCCTTCGCGATCATCTTTTGATTGGGCTCTTCGAAGAAAATCCACAATCTTGACTCAATTCACCGCCGTCGATTCTCTATTGCCGTTATCGTCGAATGTAGCCGCGGCCGGAGCATGTGACTTTTCTGGGTTACATATTCTTGATCTTGATTAGGGTTTAGTTAGAGAGAAATCCTTCTAGAAGTGTCAGTTGATTTCTCTCGTAGCAATTTGGGGTGTTTCTAGCTACTTACAAGAGGAGCAAACAGAGGGAAAATGTTGCCGTAGTCGCTCAAGGAGGTCCAGATCGAAATTTTAATTTGACCGGGTTGGTGATTGTGGCAACGCCGCCGCAGAAGGAAGGGTTTACAACAATACTTTGGTTCTTACCTTGCTGGCGGTGAAGTTTTCAAATTCGTCCTCGAGCTTCTGTTGCAACGCATCGGAGTCGGTGTCCGGCGGCGTTGTAAAAATGTTGTTGGAGGGAAAAAAGAAATCTCCTCAGGTATAGCCAATAAAAATGTTGTAAACTACATATTTGCCTCTCCCTTCTTTTCTTAAAAGGAAAAATATGGATGTTGAAGGGAAAAAAGAAAAAACGAAGAAAGTTTTCACATCCCATAAGCAAATGCACTTTCCAGAATGAAATTGTCAATTTATTCTCAGAGCCTGGCTTTTTCTTCACTCACAGTAGGAATTTGATATCTTACAAGAATTCAAACTGAGAACAAAAACAAACCAGCCCATAAACATGAATTAGCTTCAATTTTTCTGTAAATGGTTCTTATCTCATTACAGTTCTAAATAACAGCACTACTTTGGGCATAGAGCTTCTATAAAAAATATGATTTAGTACAACAGTTGCAAGTAACAAAATGGCTGTGAATTAACCCACACAATACACAAACTGAAGTTTTTGGCAGTGGGCTCCGGCGGTACACACGCTTATATATATATATATATATATAACGCAGAGGACAGGGGAAGGCCTATTTTAGGGGGAAAAAAAAATTAATAAATTAATAAGCCCGTGTTACTCGTGTTAAGGGGGTGTTTAATTTTAGTGGAGGTATTTTGGACAAAAACGTACAGGAGGTTATTTGATTTTTTTCCTTTTAATTATTATTAAGTGTACAATTTTATTTTATTTTATTTTTTACTTTGTCTAATTGGAAATATTTATCGTTCTTAAAATCGCATTTTTCTCTCTACTTTCTCACTCTAATTTCAAGGGCTTCTTATTCATGGTGTGGTGCACGAACAGCTATTTTTTAAAATCTTTTTCATCCCTTATTTTATTTAGGTGAAAATATGTCCCAATCACAAATTTCAAAGCCACTGGGCCCGCCCTCTTACTCCGGCAGAATTTTGCCACCGGTGGCCACTGCTGCCGTCTCTTCCGCCGCTCAAAGCCTCCATATGTGATCAGATTCGAGAAAGGAAATGCTAAGGTTTGGTTCGAGAAAGAAAAGAAAGAACAATAGTTTAGGAAGAGAGAAAATATGAGAGGTTTGACACGTATTGCCAGGGTCAAATTTGTCATTTTAATTTGATAAAACAATGGGTGGAGCGCCACGATATATTTTGGAACGTTAATATTAGGGTAAAGTGCATAAAACTCCTGAACTTTTAGTCAATTGCACAAAACTCTCCGAATTAATAATTGCCTATCTGAAGTATGATAAAGTTGCAGTTGAGGACATCAGGTGAGGTTCGGCACCGAAAAAAGAGGATTACAATATTACCCTTAAGTGAAACTAAGTGAAACTAGACGTATTAGTATTGTCTTAACTCAAATCTTAACCATCCAATAGAATTGTGACAACACATCATTACCTTATCACCTCAACCTTGTCAATGCCAAACACGGCCTTATACGCAAGGCTTTCTCTCTCCACGCTTTATTTTTCCCTTCGTTGACGACGTTTGTCGACCAAAAAGGTTTCGCCTGGTCTATATGATGCTCACCAAAAAGGTTTGTCGGCTGTATCTATTTGTGTTCACCGGAATGAGACTTCACTGGTTTACTCGATCATGGAATTTGAGGTTGGGCTCTCGCCGGTTTCGCTGCTTGTTGATTTGTAGAGCTTCTCATCAGCGTCGGCAGTCATGGAGTTTGAGGTTGGGCTTTCACCAGTTTTAATGGAAAAACCTTCATTTTGATTGGAGTGGCCGTAAATAGTCCCAGTGTTATCCCCTTTGGCGGGCACTGTGCCAGCCTTCAATTCTCTTTTGCTATTCATAAGATCGTCTCTTTAAATTCGCCACATAATCATTTGTTAACTTATTATCTCTCTAAAACGATCAATTACTGAGTTTCAACTCATAAAAACACTTCGATCTTGGGAATACAGGGATAAACCAAGAGGCAGCAAAGACTGATTGTATCAATTTACAGGATGTAGGCCATGGTGAGAAACGTGGTGGTGCCAGCTCAGAGCTCCGTCGTCAAAGTGGTGTCACGTTTGGTGAGTTTGAAACACTCCAACTCTGCTCCCGGTGACGAATAAGTTCAACCAAATCAGCTGTTCTCAGTTTTGGATGCGGTGTCAGCGGGTCGCGGTTGTTCCGTTCTCAATCTCCATGAAAGATGGAAAGAGGTGCAATTGTATATATATGTGTGTGAAATTAAGAGAAAGGTTAGGGTTCGTTTGTAATGGTTGATTGGCTGGTGATTTGGTAGGGATAGGGTTCCAACTTCCAACAGACAAATTTGGGGTCAATTTGGTGGTGGTTTCAATTTACAGAGTTGGGATTTGTTTTCTTTTTGTTTTGTTGTCTGTTGTATAGGCAAACAAATATAAAATAAAATAAATATATTTAGGGTTTATTTATAAGTTTTGATTTTTTATACCTTTATAATTATAAAGGGTTGTTTTGTCATTTTTTATTTTCTGCAATGGCGCGTTATTAACACACCCCCATTTAACGGTGAGAAATAGCCGGAACTTCGCCAGTGGGCATTGTTTGCAAAAAAATGATAGTTCAGTGGATTAACTATAAAAAAAATGGTTCAAGAGGGTTTTTAGAGAGAGAGAGTAAAGTTCAGGGGAATTTATTGCACTTTACCCTTAACATTATAATTTTTTTAGATGTTTTAAATTTTACTAATGCCATAATATAAAGTGTTCACATTTTTTTTTTTTGAGATATTCAAATTTCAAATTTCTCATCAATAAAGTCAATATTTAATTTATGAAAGTGAGGGAGAATCTTATTGTGTTGTCACCGATTACTTCATGAAGGTGAGGGAGAATCTCAAAGTGACGTCACTGATTACATAATAATTATACTTTCTCTGTCTTATATTAAATGTTCTTTTTAGGAATAAATTTTTTAAAAGGGACATGTAATTATTGCATTGTCCCCTTTAAAAAATACAAAACTACATTTTCAAGTTTGAATATAAACAAGTTTGAATTTTTTTAAATTTTAAAGATATTTTATGGAAAGATGTGAAATATATTGTTTAAACTTAGTAAGTGCACAAGTATTTTGGGACAATCCAAAAAGAAAAGATGGACAACTAAATTGGGACAAAAGGAGTACTTCATTAAAGAGACATATCTTAGAGTGAAAAAATACTGTAATACTAATTATACTATTGGTATACTTTATTGAGGTAAAATCACATATCCCCCTCTATTTTTAAATTAATGCAAAAAAGCCCTCCACTAAAATTAAACAGCCCCTTAAATTAAAAACCTGTTATCATAATGCCCCCATTTCGTTAAACTGCCATCCAAAGGGAGCATGTGTATGCCACGTGCTCTTGTTTAATCCATTTTATACCCAAAATACCTCTCAGGGTGTGCCTAGTAGCAACACCTGTTAATCGTTATCATCATTAAATCGAACGGATGAAGTGAATGTTAAGTGGATGTACTTCCCTACACGAAAGCTTTGGGCAGTGCGGTGGTGGTAAATGTAGTCGTCGTGCCACATATAATGGATGAGGTGGTGATGTGAGGTTTTACTAGAGGTCGGTGTGATGTGAGATTTGGGCTCATCAGTTTCTGGCGCCTTGGCATTGTTCGCAATTAGGGATAAAAGTTTGGCACTTTTATCTATATAATTATAACACACTTGACTTTTATGAGATATGATAGTATGTCTCGACCATTAGGGTAGTTGACTCTAAGTCAATGTGTTAGTGTACTTAGAGTATACTAAATTGGATCACCATAAGATCACACTATACAAATTACTGTCAGTATTTTGGTGTGAGTCTTATCTACTAGATACATTAAGCTCTACATACTAAGAGGTTTAGTGGACTCAAGTTTTAGTATTGGTCACTTTGACTTACCAACGTGTGAGATCTTTTAAGGTCAATATCACGGTATCTTAGGTGACTAATGTTGAAACTATGGGAACAAAAATGTTTAACATGGAATCCACACTTTTTATAATAGTTAGAATATCCCATTGATGCAATTTAATAAATTTGATCACTGGAACCTGGCCAGGTATTTTTAGTAAAATGTTTACTAAATTATTTTTCTATTATTTATTTAGAAAAATATTTATTTTGAAAAATTATTTTATAAAAGAATTTAATTCAGTGATCATACGAATTAAATTAGTTACTCAAGAAATATAAAATATAAGTAAGCATTAGGCGTGACGATATATATTTTCCTGGTCTATCTATGGGTATTCGGTAGTAGAAGGGCTATTTTTTTTTTTTTTTTGTTTTTTTTTTTAGTAGGATAGGGTCTTGTTATAATTTTTGAATCCTATAGTGAAATTATAATATTATTGTAGTGCTTTATTGTAATTAATTGAATATGATAGAGTTATCTATATCCAATTGGAGTTAGGATAAGAATTCATTTTTGATCCTCATCTCTAGCCCCATCTTTATAGGTATTATATCTTTCAAGTTGGATACTCTGTCTATGATGTACAAAACTATAAGAGTAATGATACTTGCACCGATTTGTTGCACCGAATGTTTCTCATTGGCTATTTATGCACAATACATGTAAGTGGATGACCCCACTTCTTTGTTTATGTATAAATGGACTGATTAAAAGAAATACTTCTTTATTTATGCATAAATTAACCGATTAAAAGAAATACTTCTTTATTTATGCATAAATGAACCGACAATTCATTACAACAAATCGCATAAATAAACAAGTGAAGCCTTCCACTTACATGTACTATGCATAAATAATTCATCAGAAATATTCGGTGCAAGTATCATTACTCTTAAAACAATTAATAAGTATTTAAATTTCACATCATAAATAGAGGTAAATTTATCAATTCACTTTGACTTAGCTGATTCAAATGGAAATGGAGGCAACCTGGTAACGTTCATGTTTAATTTTGGTAAGTAATACTTTTGGTATATTATCACATGGTATCATCAAGTAATTAAATGCTAGCATGCAATAATAGTACTCATTCTAATAAATGCATTTCTGCTTATAAGATTGTGGGGCTTCTTTCAAATAAATCAATATATATTCAATAATAAGGATAATTTCTGAGTACAAAATACAATGAAGCGGTTATCAAAGGAAAATCAGTCCCTGGGCTTGGGCGCCTCGGCCCTTATTTATAGGCCCAGGTCCTTGCACAAATGGGGAAGTCTCTCGAGACTTATCCTAGGGTAGCAATGATGCCCTATTAAACACAATATGGGTATTCAGGTCCTTTTATCTTGAGGATATGTACTATCACATTAAATATCCATCCCTTCGAAAGTGGCGGTAGTTGAAATTCATTAATAAGATGAGTAGTGTCTTAGTCAAGGCGCGTGAGTTTTTGGTTTTTTAGTTTGTCAAGGTATCCAGTGTTGTTAGTGTTAATTGGCTCGAGTAGACGATGATGACGTGAGATGTGCCCGGTGGCTTAATCCTCTACAAAGATAAGATACAATTTTTTGTTTTGTTTTGAGGAGTTTTAATTGCAGTTGCACAGTCGCACTCCTAATTGGTTAAGATCCCTAAAATTACACGTTCCTTAATTAAATGTCTCGTACCTTTATGAAACATTTAAAATACAAATTTATAGGACAAAAGTGCCCTTTTAATATATTATTTATTCTCTCCTAAGTTAATTTGTATACATATGTAAACACGTGTGTTTATATATTATCAATAACATTCTCATTATGATTATGATTATGATTATTTTCTTTCTATTTTTTTTTATGGATTATTTTCTTTCTATCTTTTTTTTTTTTTTGGTTATTTTTATGGATTATTTTCTTTCTTTTTAAAATTGTCTTTTAGCTATATACCGAGTGTGTATATATATATTATATGGATTCATAATAGAGAAAAAGAAAGTTGTTGTTTATATGTATGAAAGTTGCTGTTTATATATATAGATACTCAATAAATAAATAAATAAATATATATATATATATATATATATGTATATATATATATATGCCATCCAAGTAAGGAGAGAGAGTAAATAATTAAAAGGGTATTTTTGTCCTATAAATTTATATTTTGAATGTCTCGTAATGGTAGGAGACACTTAATTAAGCAGCGTGTAATTTGAGAAATCTCAACTAATTAGGAATGGGACTGCAATTAGCAAATTTTTTGTTTTTATTTTTATTTTTTTAATTTTTTAACAAGATAAGATACAATTCATTGACAGCATCCATGTCCGGTGGAATGTATACATTTGAATTATAAGTTCACTTTAATGCTCTAACTATATTAATGACATAATATTATTAACTTATACTGCTTACATGTAATGATATGATTTATTAATGACACACTCAAGTACATTGATTTATTAGATATAAGGCATATATTTATTTCTAATTCTTCTTCAACCATTTGGTATATTAATGATTAATATTAGATGTTCAAACCTTTTAATTATTAAACTTTTGAATCTACGAACATAATTATAAGGTTTTGAACAATCTACTAACATAATTATAAGGGTTTGAACATTAATTTATAAACAACAGAGGAATATGTGGACTTCACTTGGCGAAAAAAAAAACTTGCTCCCTATGCACTCTCACCATTAGTGGGGACACCTAGAGCAACCAAGTTTTTTTCCCCTCAACATCTTCTAACACGTTGCTTGAGGATCAAACTAACTCACAATGTTAAAAAATTTCCCATCTACATAAAACTCTAATGAATCAAACTAGATTTTGATTCTTTTTTAAAAAAAAAAAAAAAAAACAGAATCTTGTGTAAACTTTAGAATTAATTTCACCTTAAATTTGAAAAAAATTCATTCCGGTATAACTTTTTGGTTACAAGTAATCATTTTTCTATAAAAGCAGGTGTCTCGTATGTTTAAATGAAAATTTTCTTTCGATTTCAAGAAATTTTATATAGATCTTTCAACTTCTTTTAAACACTTTGCATATGATCCTAGTCAATGTAAGATGTATTAAGGTGGGGAAATTATTAAATGGTCTAGGATTAAATAGACTCAGACAATTACAAATTGTTGTTATGTATCAGCTTTATTTAGGTTTTTAATTGTCGATATCATTTTTATCACTAATATCTATAAATATATTTATTTTGAATTGTAAAATATTTTATTGGAGAAGTTATTAGATATTCCGGAATCATACGAATGTAGTTAGTTTCAATCAAAGTTTTTTAACTAAGAAAAGTAGATTAATAAGAGTTTTAATAAAATTTTTAAAAAAAAATAAAAAACCCTAAATGTACATTTTGATTGGATTAAACAACCAAATTATTCACATATTGTTAGTTGAATTAGATTGGCCTCATGGATTTGAAATTATATTAAGAAATACTTTGTAAATTCTTGACTTTAAGGTTCCATTTGTTTTGACGTAAAATATTTTTTTCAAAAATA